GAAGAGATAGAATATGTAGACAATGCGTGCAGTATGCAAGTAGACAATAACTCAGATACCTTAGAGAACATTGTTGATACTGAAAGTAAATATTATTTTAAATAGAGGGGAGCAATATCATACAATTATAAAATGATAAACTATGTACTATGTCTATAGCAGATTTAAAGTCCATTAAACTGCCTTCAAAAATGAAGATATCTGGACATCCCAAAGGAATTACAAAGACAACAATTGGACTTCTGAAAAAGAAAAAAGGACTACCTATATCATTCAGAATGCAGAGTACTGAAAAAAAACAAAAATTATTATTGAAATGGATTGTTACAGATGAAAGTATTATGACCAAAGCGTTATATGATAAATACATCATTGATGACACAGATGTATTATGTCAGCAAGATAAAATACACTGTGGGATTTTAGAGGAAGACGTTAAGTTAGATATAGTTAAATGTTTTTTCTCCAATCAAATGTGGAAATCATTATTAAACAGAATAAAAATAAAGCGGAAGGAAGTAGTTTGGATTTGTCCAACTTGCAAAGAAGACATTGGTTTACAACAATCAATATTATGTGATTGTTGTTTGACTTGGTTTCATATAAAGTGCGATTTAAGTATTAAACCTAAACCTAAGAGGTCCGATTGGTATTGTTCTGAATGTTGTAAAAAGAAATTGTAATGTAATATGTAAATGTTTAATGTGATTATTTATATGTATAAAAATGAATTATTAGAATGATGGTTAAGATCAAGATTAAGTCGATTAACACAGGTAAATATACTATACCTTCGCTTCAATTATTTAACACTTGTAATAGTCTTGTTTTTCTTCCTATTATTTCCATTATGTTCTATAGACTATAATGTGTCAATGTGATTATTTATAAATCGTATAATTCGTACACCTAAGTTGTAATTAATTTACGCAGGATTTGATAACAACTGATAACAGTGATAACATCGTGGCGAAAATATTAAGTCCCCGCGCATGCGCAAAACAGTGTCCGGGTACGTATTAGATACCCGGTGTCCGGGTCTCTAGCCACAGCGAAAAAAATTTAGTTACGTAGCTACTTCGATACATTGACACATCGAAATAACATCGAAGGTAATTTTCGATGGACCAATAAAAAACGAAAGACACTGTCGGTGTAAAAAACATCGATACATCGAATATAACAATCGATGTTTTCGATTAATCAATGTATCGTTGCCATCCCTATGTGGCGGTGGTTCGCCACAAATCACAATCTTAATAGTTAATATCGGTAACAGTAGTTTTACGTACTACACACGATACATAATGGAAAATTTATACCACCAGACGAATAGGTTGATATTAGAAACTCAAGAGTTATTCCATAGATTGGAGAGTTCGAAATCCGAACTGGTCGAAGCAGATGTTCAATCCAGAATATTAACCATTTCACAGTAATGAATACGTTTTTATTCAATATACCTAATTGTCTTAGTTGCATAAAAAATGTTTGCTAAATTGAATATCTTGTTTAGAAATTGTGAACACTTAGACATTCTCGTGCACAAAGAACCTGTTTCCAGGCGCAACAATGCCAAACTACGTGTAGATCAACTCAAATACGATTATCAGCACTTGCAGGTTAATACAATTTTTGTTAAACAATTTTTAATTTCTATTAAATTTAAAATGTATAAATATATATTAGTCCGCATTAAGAACACATCAACAAAATCAGCTGAGGAGATTGAGAGCTGAGCAGGAACGTGAAGAACTGTTAAATCGTCGGTTTACTAGAAATTCAGACATGAACGATACAACAATATTAATCGATAGTTCAATCCAACATCAAAATTCATTACAAGTATTTTTTAGTTTTTGTGTTAAAATGAAACGTATGTATATTAAAATAAACCCTATTGTTTATTTCAGGGAGCAAATCGAGGAGTTGATGATTTATTAGGATCTGGTGTCAGTATACTACAAAGTTTGCGTGAACAACGTGATCGACTAACGAGCACCCGAAATCGTTTGACTGGAATTTTTGGTTCGCTTAGACTTTCCAATACAACTATGAAATACATTGAAAAGAGATTAAAAGAAGATAGGTATATACTATATGGCGGAATGGCCATCACAATTCTCATTATAATTATAGTAATGATATATTTCAGTTAATGATCATGGATCAAATAAAGTTAATTTTTCATTAATCTAACAGTTAAATGTTACTGTTTACTAAATTACTTTTGTACATACCTAAAATATTTTTTAACTGTTTTATTTATTGGCAATAAAATTTTGATGTTTATTAACTGTTATCTAATATATATTAACTATTGAACAACTTCAAATTGTTAAATTAATTATTTTTAGAAGATACTTACCTATTTCAAAAACAAACTTTAAATTTATAATTTTTTTTATTTTTAAATAATGAATGGAACAATTTTCCAATGATTTACAATTATTGTGTGTTAAACTGTGAACTCATTTTTATTGAGAGAAAAAAATGCAAGATCTCTCATGTTGAGGCTGGTTTTTGAAACCGGATTATGGCACTATTTTTGGGAGTTGGAAAGCAAATTTTTGGTAGTTTTTAAAATAATCAGGAAAAAATGGGTAAAAATAGAAATTTTAACAAACATTTTAAAATTATTTTATAGTTATAAGTGCATATAATTTTTAATACTTAAGGTTTGGAATATTTAATACAAAGTTCCATGTACGTTTTTCTAACTAAAATTATAAAAAAAGTTAACTGTAATTCCATAAATATTATAAGCATCAGAAGTTTAAATTTTTGAGGAAATTGGGTAACACTTATGTTAAAAATCTATGAAACGAGGATAACTATTTTAGTTATTTTGTCATAATTGAATAATATTTGTAATGGCTTTATACCTTGTTCCAAATTTGGAGGAACAATTATAAATATGATTTCATTAAACTTAATTTATAATTAATATCGTAAAATAAGTGCAGGCAGTTTATTTTGAAAAGTTTGTTTGACAATTAAAAAAAATAAGATTATAATGTTTTTATTAAACATTTTATATAACTATAACATAGTTAATAGTTTGTATGAAAAAATAAGTATTTTGACATAAAAATAAGAAAACATAGTAATCGTGAACCAAACTCATATTTACATAACTAATTGATGTTGCTCGAAAATATGGTACAGTTAAGTCATATATAAGAAGCTATGATTTGATAATACTCACAGTACCTACTACAATTCTGGTCATGACAGTATACAGCTTTGTACTATACATATTTAAAGGGGGGGAAAGGAGTAATTTCTCCAGGTGGCAAGATCGTCAAAACAATAAAGGGTGGCAAAAAATGTATATCGCTTGTAATTTAATAAAAATAAAGTATTTAGTTGAATAAATATTTTAATTATTTTAGTTTATTAATTTAATGTCACTTGTGGGAATATCTAAAAACGTAATTAAATCTAATATTACGACTATTTAGCTGAGATCCCACGGCATGTAGCTCGTCGCAAGTCACGGGGAACGTGTATAGCATATTTAGACCCCACGCTGCCTGCACACAATACACAACAATAAATTACTCTGTAGTTTGTTGTACGATTAATGATTATATACTATTCATATTTAATATTGTTGCAACTTTTATCATTATCCTTTATAGTCTGGACTCTGAATGTCTAATTCCTGCCTATTTGGATTAATTAGATTCAAAATAGTCGAGTTATTCAAACTGTGTTCTCACTTTCACAACATTAAGGGCCACGAGCCGCAAATATTGATCAAGGGAGCCGCGGCACAAAACAGGAAAAAAATATAAATAATAATAATAATTTATCAATTGTTTAACAACATTATAATTTGTTGTCGTTAATAATTTGGGAGAAGCCAAAATTTTGTGAAGAGACAAAACTGAGTACAGCCGTGGGACGAATTCCTGAAGAATATTGAATATCACAGTCCCCTGACAGTCCTCTTTTACGCAAATTCTAGATCTGCTGATTTGCAGTTAGTATTACCATAGAATATACTGTTGTGGAATAGACCATCTGACCATCCTGGTCTATTATAGTATTATCAATGGTATTACGTAAGTGCTAGTTTCATAGCGAACAACGTTGTGATAATATGAATTATGAATACTCTCACTGGACACGTTTTTAATATCACTTATTGAAATAATTTGGTGGTATGGCGTGAATGACGAACATTCTAATGGGGAGGCGCCTGAAACTCGACAAAAGCGCAACACAACTCGCGCGGTAGAAACCAGTGGAGGCCCCGCGGTCACAATTCACGGTTCCCGAAATGCCCGCCAGGGTGAACCGCTTCGCAGTCATCGCCACCGCCAACAAGACACCGGTCCGAGTGGCGAGTACTACCGACGCGCTGTGTAACGTCGTCACTCGGCCGCCGTCGCTCGCTCGTTCATCTCGCTTGTTTCTCGCTCGTTGCTCTCATTCGTTTGCGCGCGCTGTCGTCGTTACCACCACTACCATAACCGCGGTGTGGGTATGTCTGCTGCCGAGAAACACAACGGTCTTCCCCCACCACAATCCGTTGCACGAAATTGGTACCCGGCGGCCGGCGGAGAAAACGTCAACCTTTTACATTTTATTTCTCGCGCACGAAAAATTACTGCGGAGCTCGAGCGCGCGTGCGTTTTTGTCGTTATTGTTATTTTTTTTTTTTTTTTCTGCCAAGTACGGTTGTTGAAATTTTATTTTGTTACTTAATGTTTGCTCTCACTTTTACTACGACTGTAAGGAACACCGCTCGTGACCATTTCACCTCTACAGCGGCGGCAGCGGTGGTTGGTACGTATTTTATCGTCGTTTAAATGATATTATTTTATTATTATTCGTCTGCCGTGTCCCTCGCGATTGTTCAGAGGTCACGCTCGAGCTGGGACAGTGATTTGATGACGACGTCGCCTCCGCTCCGTCACGGACGGGATTGTTGATGGGTGTGTGTTTAGTGGCATGCGTTTTATATTTAATAGACATGACTAGATCCACACTCATCCATGTTCCCGGGCCTGTTCGACGGTCGTGGTAAACACGGTGAACACCACCGAAGAGTCAAGCCAAGTCGCCCCTTTTTGGCGCGCAACAAGTGTGCAGCGTGACAAAGGGACGTGCGCGCGCAGCCGCGAGTCGCGGTGGCGCATTCTCACTCAGACTGCCGTAAGCACCTCGACTGTTCGTGGGGTTAAGTTAAGATTAGAGGGACAACCCTTGACTCTTCATCACTCACCAATCTGTTAAGATCGTTTTTAGCTACCTCTCTTGATATTGTCCCCTCCCCCCGGTGATGTATAATATTTTTTTTCCTACCTATCATAATTCATTATATTTCTTTTATTACCCACGACCCATATATGTTTGTGATCGTTTTTGTACCACCCCTCTCCAAATCATTGTCGGTTTCCGAAAAATATAACTGGTGGAGGTTAGATTATAGTAAATGATTGTTGTTGTCATTACTTTGATAGACTAGTAATAATATTGTTACAAGCTGACCATTAGTCAACAAACTATCTGTAACGGTAACTATTGGGTTTTAATTAGGTATGTTCAGAATTGATGTCATACAGCCAGAGTTGAAAATAAATTCATATATACATACATACACATATATTGTGATAGCTAGTATGTATTGTGGGCACCATAATGATGGGCTTAGAAAATATATTATTACAATAAAAATGATATTTTGTAGTAGTTAAGTTCTGAAAACTAATTGGCTTATCTGTATTGTTTATTATTAAATATTATGTTTAATATTGGACTAAACTATTAAATATTATGTTTAGTATAAGACTATACTATTAAAGTAGGCTTTCAAAAAACAGCTATTTTTTCTAATGATATATGAGTTGTTCACAGCTCTAACTTACATTAAATGTAGATTGTTTTCATTTGATGTACATTATTAAATGTTTACTTCTAAAATAATTTGTTATTGTATCAATTTAATGAGTACCTGTTATTAAATATTATATACAAATTTATAATATTGAATCTTTCTATTTTGCAAATTATCATTATAACTAAAAATGTTGTTGTTGATAGTTTAAATTATTATTATAATTATAAAAAAAAATTAGGTCTTGGAATTCAAATCATTCAAATCTTAAGTATATAATTCCGTAATAATATAACTTGTACAGAATAGAATTGGAATTGGAATCCTAAAAATGGGCCTCTAACCTATATTATATATGTATGTATATTTGATTATCAGTTTTTAAATATTAAGCTCAGTGTTTGTAACAAATTGTATGTATAACTGTATATATTTTTTTTTTGACACATTAATATTACCGATATGTATCTTTTACATTATTACCTTCTAATAATACTTCTTTCGTTCAACACCTTTTTTGAAATAGATCAACAACATGTCGATCCAACATAAATATATATTGTAATAACTAATAATGCATACACAAGTAATGTTGAAGGATGAAGTCATCATTTGCTCTACAATTGACCGTATTAATTATTAACTAATACCAAGACAAATATTTTTAGTTATACCTATGGTTGAAATTAAATAAAGTAATAGATAAAAATGAATTAGGATACTCAGTTTAATTCCATAGTTTGTAGTTAATTAGTTAATAGTTAAAAAACTTGTGAAAATATCTGAATATTAATTAACTTTCAAACATTTCGAGGAAAGGTATCCACAATTTTGAAAAAATCTACATGTCTAAATCTTTATTTTTGAAATGTAAACAAAAAAATGTTATAATCTCCCAAGTATAGTTGTATTATGTTATTATTTCAGAGTTGAAGTGGCATTTTTTAATACAAACTGTAATTTTATTGTTGGTGTAAAATATCAACATATATATACTACAAACTCTTGAGTAACAGCCTATTTTTACTGTTCATTTTTCAAGGTTACCTATTATTGGGTCAGTCTGTCTGGTGAACCTTTGACTAATTTGTTTCTATTCCTTGTGTATTTGTTTTACCAAACAATATTCGACTGGTTTTTTTTAACTCAAGATCAAATTGCTTATCATAAATGCGTGTTTCAATATTTCGAAAACAAAATTTCCCATTTTAAAGAATATATACTTATCAAATCACATACACATCATCAATAATATACTAATTAGTATTGAGTAATTATTGTTTTCATTTCACTACATTAAGTACTAATGATTATTTTTTATTCCCATGAAACTCATATTATGTTGTTGTCTTAAACGACTGCATCCAAATGTACGTAGGAAAAAACTTGAGTCGTGGGTAGGGTCAATTGGGGTTAAGGCTCGTAATGGGGAGGGTTGATTATTTTTTCATCCG